CAGCATGAGAGCAAGCACAGACTGGCAGCAAGGAAGGTGAATGACCAAAGCATCGGTTGCTTCCACTTGTGGCCTTCTTTTCTTCGACCGCCTTGACGCCTTAATATCAAGGAACCACCCCCCTCTCTTCTTCTCTTCATGTATGTGGGCTGCCCCGTCCCGAATAGACGAACAGGAACAAGCAAAGGCACGAGAGAGTGGATACTCAACTCACCTCTTCGACAATTAGGTGAAGACCAGGGGAGGGGGGCCGGAAACCCCAACGTTCAACCTTTCACCGCGCCACACGATTCTTTCGCCAAGCGCTCTCTCAGACGTTTCCACTCCTGCCCTCGTAAGCAAAGAGGTTTCATTCAAGATACCAGGCGACCAAATGAAAGTGAACAGCCCCGAACAAATCTTCGTTAGAGCGTACCCTTTGTTTCGACTCTTTCTCTCTTACAAAGGCAAAAGAATATCTGATTTTTCTTCTATGGACCCCTTGGACCTCCGACCAATTAGGTTATGATGCATGCGTGCACATTCACTTCTCAAAAGTGGGTTCCAAACCTGGGTGGCACTATGTAACTCAATCCATGAGAGGTCGTTGGGTAGCTTTTTTTGATTTCAGAATAGTCGAGGAGACTTTAAGGGGATTTTGTCGAGATAAGGACTTGCGTCGAGTAGTCGTAAGGTCTCAGACTCGCAGAAGACAAGTGAAAAGTATCTCGAGGTTTCGCCGCTTTGAAACATTTTCTAAATCTCGCTAAAATCGTGGTTTTTCTCTCAAAACTCGGGAGGTTCCGCCAGAAAGAGTTTGGGATTCAATCGTTTGGTCTTTTGAAGTTCCTTGAGAACCTGATTGAAGAAAACCCGCATTTTGTAATACACGTAGATCTGCAGATCCAGTCTTTGAAGTTATTCGTTTGTGTTTCGATTCCACAGTTCAGACGGAGGGAGACGTTGTTGAGTATGTGGCTTGACTTACTCCAAGGTGACTCAAGTCTTGATTGAGCAGTCATTTTTCGTAGTCACGGGTCCTGCTTTAGCACCATTTCCCATTAGAAACTGTAGAGGGCGGTTTGTGACCTTCCAATTTTCTAGGGGGTCGTGAGAGATAGCAAAAGGATGCATCCATTTCTAGGCTAATTGTCTTGTGGATGCTATCCATGAGGTAGTTAGACACGCCCCTTGGGGGATTGGGTCTTTTAAAAGGACTCCATCTGCAGGGCACAAACAAATTAAGGGAAAGCATGCTGTTTTTCTAAGGTTGGGTTTTGAGATGAGAGTAGGATACACACAAGAAATCCGTTGTCTAGAGAGAGTAGAGTGATCTCAAAGAGTTTTCTATTTTCATATTTGAAACACTTTAGATATTTCTATCAATATAGATACCGTTTTTCGAATCAAATCAAACTCTCTTTCTCATTTACTGCCACTCAACAACAGCAGGTCTCAGCTCTGCACATTCCTATCAATTTGTTCTTTCTTTCAGCTAAAGATGGTTATCATCTGGTATGAGAGTCCAGGTTATGCAGATATGGTAGCGATACAATCTTCTGGATCTATAGTTGCTGATATGATTACTGCATTAACGCATACGATTGTCAAGGATCGCAAAATGGAATGGAACCTCTAAATGTATATGTTTGGAAGATGAGAATGCAGTTGCTTCTCAAAGAACAGGATCCTTTTTTTTCATTCTTGAGAAAAGAGACGCAGATCTGGCGCTAATGGCTTCTTCAATCAAGTGAGTGATGTTGTTGTAGCCAAACAACAAAAGAAAGCATATGAACAGCATCGATAGTTGTAGACAAGAAACAAAAAGTTCTTCGAAGCTGTGCTAATGGTGGTCAAGGATAAGGTACTCGTTTCAGTGGGAGACATTAAGTCCGCATGAGAAAGATGGGAGACTCCCCTGTACCTCTTTAGGGGAATGTATGAGTCAGTGACAATGGTAAACATTTTCTTCGGCAACGGTTTTTTCCAAGCAAGATGCTTGAGGGGACGAGCGTGTATCAGCACTTAGACAAGATGAAGAAGATTCTCAAAGAATTTATAGGAGAGTCTTCCCTATACAAAAGAGTGATCAGTGACCGGGAAGTCCGCTTCAGTCATTTGAGTCTTTGACAACCACTCTCTCCTGTGAAACTCCTCCTTGTTCTATGATTGATCCTCCCATTTTCTTTAGGCTCCGGCTGAAAAGAGATTTGAACAGCAGTTTGAAAAGACTAATGCTGCGCAAAAGAATATGTTTCAAAACAAAGAATAAGCACTGAGAAGGACCTAAAAAACATAGATAGAGTGTTGATCCTGCAAGAAGAAAGGTCACTTGAGTTTTGAGTGCCGGGTAAAGGGAAACAAAAAGCCATGATGATCAGAAAAAGGTAGTCTTGGTCACTACGTTGGCCCTGTTTGCCAACATTTCCAGATAGTTGGTGGATCGGGTCCTCGCATCAGATTTTCTTCCGAAAGGCAGAATTTGGTACAGATATGATTGAAGAACTAGGTTCTGAATATATGGGCAATGGCACTTCGACTGTAATCAGAGGCCGAGGGAATGTGTAATTGCTGTTGGAAAACAGAAAGTCAGAAGACAAATGTTGATATTTTCTTTCTTTTTTGTATCTTCAAACTACTCTCGATGATCAGAGCCTTGACTTTGTTATTAGTAAAGCGCGGGAGCGTTCTAGCAGCTTGCTTCAAAAAGCTTGACTTGACTTTATTATTATTCAATCAAAGGGGAAAGGCTTTTTTATAGATGTTGAAGAGGTGAGGCAGGGGCTGCTTCTTAGCGCTCCAGGAAATGAGATTCCGACCAAGAACAAAAGCCCGAGGTAGAGTGTCGGTCGTCAGGGCAGCCTGCCTTTTTAAGAGTAGGGGCTGAATAGTTTCATTCTAAAGGAAAGCGAAGAATCCACCTTTAGTCAATAGGAGCTCTACTTCCCTCTTTGGGACCTCATCACTGAAATGAAAGCGCAAAGAAATTGCTTGATGAGTTGCCGGGCGTAGCGCAGGGCAGTCTCGACGAGATAAGAATTCCGAGAGTAGACTTTGTTTGGGTTAGGCGAAGTTCAGAGGTAGAGCGAGATACCTCCATGCCGAGAAAGTAATACAGCGGATGAAAGAGAGAGAGAAATTAGTTGTCAAGCTCCTTGATGAAATCGAATCAAAGAGAAGAATCATTCCCGGTTAGAATGTTTCACGTATAAAAGAAGGATGAGGCAACGACCATGACGTCGACAAACAAAATCTCAGAATCCCCACGGTTCCACTGTAGCCGGAACCCTTATCCAAAATCAAGCAGTGAGAAACAAGCTAAATTTCTTCAAGCAGGGCCCCCTTCTTAGCTCTTGGTGCCTGCTTTAGCCAATCGAAGCATATAGATCCGTAAATAGCTTTCTTGAGCTTGCATACCAACAAACAAGTTATAGGATTCCTAGGAGAAGATCAGCCTGGAGTTAGAGGAGGCTGAATAGAAAGATATTCTTGCAGATCCCCGCTTCCCTTATCTTGTTGAAAGGCATTCTTCACGTCAAGTTGATTGAAATCAGGGCATTTTGATTGCAGCCAAGGCAAGAATGCCACGAATGGTGTTTTAGCGGGCAAATCTTTCCCCTATCTTTTAAGGGGGTCGACTCAAGATTTTGGAAGGAATCCTTTAGCTAGCTTTGTATCTCTGACGCGAGCCATATGCTTTATGCTTGATCTTGTAAATCTACTTGCAGCCAATGGCTTGTTTCCGGCAATAAGACTCAGTCCAGTCTTCTTTCTTCTTTTTTTCCTTCTTCCTGCATAGCATCTCTCCAGCAAGAATGATTTCAGGCTGAAGCAAATGATTCAGGTGAATGAGAAGATTGAACTGACATGAGGTAAGCTCTCTTGGGAAAAACTCTTTCTAAAGACTCAAATTCTGCAACGGGAAAGGTCGAGAGGATCGACGAACCTGAGAGAGGGATCCAGAATCTGAGGAAGCGACTGGAAGGGAAGCAACTGGTCCCGACTGCTGATCTTCTGGAGTAGTCCTAGCCTGGGCAACAACATAATGGTTTCGCCGCCGAGAAGAAAGATGCTGTGCCGGGTGACTGGAATCCTCTGAGGTCAACTGAACAGGCTGACAATCGGCAGAAGATGCTGAGCAAAGCTGCTGGCCTGAAGAGTGGGGCTGATCCGTAACATCAACTGCAGAAGAATGAGGTGAGAGTTGATGAACAGGAGAAGGCCGCAATACATCTCCATCACCATTCTCCCCCGGGGCTGATTAATTAGGTTAAAGAAAATATGAGGCGACCTCATTAAAGAGAACATGAAAGGATAATCAGAATCTCTTGGATTTCACGTCATAGCATCTATACCCGGACTGAGCATATCCAAGAAAGAAAGAAGCGGTGGCCTTGGGGACAATTTGGCTCTTAACTGCGCAGGAATATGAACAAAAGAAAAGACGTGTGTGTATGCATCCACTCGAAAATGCCTGCAGGATGGTACTGCCTCAGTCAGAAGTTCGTGAGGTGCCGCTGCTGCCTACCTACCTATTACCTCTCGATTCACCCCCCAAAAAAAGGAGAGAGATGTCCCGTCCCTTCTTTATGCACATCCATATAAATAGCCAGACACAAAGGTGTACAATTCGGTAGGTAATAATGGGTTCTTCTTGTTTATTCACTGATTGTTCTCTTACTTGCTCTAGTGGCTGGCAAACGCCAACCGAGAGGGGAGAACGAATGGCTCAGGAATCGACTGGTTCCGAGCGGACTCATGGAGCTGTTGGATTATCGTATCAGTAGAAGAAGAGGATGACGCTTTCTTAGCTTAGGAAATGACTGAACTTTAAAGACCGCCGCTGGGAGGCGAGGGAGTCACTTGTCTGGTCTTGCGGTGCACTCACTCCCGTTACGAGAATGAAATGACGCCCCAGCTCGACTCGAGACCAAGACTCCTTACAACTCGCACCAGGTTGGTCTAGTAATTAGGGGTCGGCCTGAGATTGATTGAAAAGGCAGCCCAGCCGCCCCCCGCCTACCTACTCGTGCTCGTAGCTCGATCGGAGACGAGTGTGGTCCGGCGGAAAAACATAAGTCGTCCCTCTCGACGTGATACGTGAATTGCTCAGTAGTGCTTCGCCACTACCGTAGCTGGCGGAAATAGCTTAATGGTAGAGCATAGCCTTGCCAAGGCTGAGGTTGAGGGTTCAAGTCCCTCCTTCCGCTCAAGGCTTCGTCGTTTAGTGGTAACGAGTAGAGTGCATAAGCACCCTTAGAAATAGGGGCGAGACCCCTTGGATAGGGTTACAAACCAATCAACCTAATAGGAAGAAAGAAAGGTCCCTTTTGTTTTAGCGCGCAGTGTACTAGTGAATAGGAAAAGCAGATTGAGATTACTAATGACAGATGGAGGTTGAGTCTCGAACATCTTCGGTGCCTCGCCCTTGTCTCCTTCGCCTACGACTGCTTAGAATGCTCATCCTATCGATTCAGAGGCATAGGTACTCCCTCTCCCACAACACACTCGTCGAGACGAAAGAAACCTCCCGACATAGAGAAGAGATATCGACGTCTGGGGACTCGAGATCACCCTTCCCTTTCACCTGAACTGGTCGAGAGAGATTAACCCGCACCACATACATTTTCTAACCTTCGAACCGAAACCCCCTCAGATGGAATTCCAGAACCTAAACAACTCCGTTGAGAGCTCCGTGACCGGGTAAAGGGAAGGTCCACCAATGATTGATAGGACATTCCCACCCTATCCGTCTCTTTCTACCTCATTACACTAATTAGTTGTTACTGATTCATTCAATCAAGGCATAGACCCCCACCCACTTCTTTGTCTTATTAGCGCAGGTGTTCGTCAACGATGAAAGCCGCTGAACTTCAGACTCGATTTGAGAAAGAGGGCTAGGCCCTGGAGAGGAGGGCTTGATGGGACTAGGGAAGACGGCTGGATTATAGAGCTAGGGGCAGGCAGATCGGATCGAAGGGTTGTCCATTGGGATTGGGCATGGACGAGCACTGGGCCAGCATTGATGACAAAATGAGAAAGAGAGAAACTTCTCCCATCGCATCATTAACCGGTGTAGGATTAAAGATTAGGTCCAGGATTCGAGTCAAATCGACCTTACCTCTCATCTCAGGGTGAGGCAAGGAATTCCATCAAATGTTCGTTGTTCAATATCTCGGCTGCTCAAGAAGTTGGACTAGCAGCTCCGCCGACCCAGAGTGGATTCTAGGAGAAGGGAAGGGCGGGCAGAGCCTTGCAGTAGGAGGGTTTTCGTTGCTGGAACGGGTTCAAACAGGACTGAAGCGAGGAGGAATTCCATACTCCGATCTTACTTACTGGGGATTCAGGCTAGGGCTTGAGAATCAAAGCATGGGCATCCGCAACTAAGAGGGAGCAGTAGATCATCGATTGAAGAGCCAGGTCAGTCAGTAAACTTCTATTGATGAGAGATTCTACGTCAGGGACTCCTAGCAACAAACTTGTATGAAGGGCCCCCATGGAGACGCAGGAGATGCAGGAACCGCCAGTCGGATCGACCCAACAATGAATGATAGGCCAGAGAGAGGGATAGGCTCATTCGACTAATTAGTGATCCCTGGCCCTACCTAAGATAGAGATGCCCCTGAAATTAGGGGATTGGTTGATCGGAAAGCTCGGGTAGGAGTAGGACATTCCATCAAAATCTTTCCTCCCGTGGTCCTCTTTATTCTTTCACGAGGTAAAGCATATGAAGTAGCTCTTTGATTGAATTTGATTCTGCTTGAAAGATGAAACAAATGAAAGAAAGATCAGCTCATTCACCTTCCCCTGAACCTATTTATTCAAAGACTAGGTAAAGCTGCTGCTGAGGATTGAATTGACTCTCTTGTCCCCGGAACCTGATTTCACTCTTTTACTCGACTGTAAGAAAGATGAATGATCCTCAACCTTAAACCTTTTCCTGATTGAACGAGGCTCGGTAAAGCAGCTTAGCTTCTCTCCTGGACTGATTGAACTCGGTCTCTTTTCTCCTTCACCTGTCGGTCTCACAGCTTGGTTGGTTCTTTCTCCTTCAAACACTCTTTGACTCTCCCTTCTTCACTGTCAAAGATCAATACTCCTTTCCTTATTCATTCTCTTCTCTCTCCTTCTGGAACTGTAAGAAAATCAGACTCAACCTCAACCCTGAACCTCTACAACTCGGTTTCACAATTCCATTGCCTGCCCCTCGTAAACTCGGTAAAGCAATTAATTCCATTTCCTGCCCCTCGGCGCTTCGCTTACCTCCTTCTTTATTCTTTCCTTGAACTGATTGAACAAGGTAAAGCATATTCAATTCATTCTCCTTGACTCCTCTCCCTATCGGTCGAGCTGTTTCACTCCTCTCCCTATTTTTTGGTCCATTTTGGAGGTCATTACATTACATAGGCTGGATGAGAATCAGGTCAAGCTCATTCACCTATCGGTCTCATTGCTTCGCTCCTTCACCTCTCCCTTTCACGAAACGAACTGTAACTGTAAACACTCTCGATTCATTCGAGTTAACTCCTTCACCTATTCTATTGGTCTCACTGCTTCGCACCTTTCCTATTCATTCTCCTTTTCCTATGAATTGACTCTCCTGTAAACTCGGGTTTCACTATTTGACGGTCTCTTCTCTTTTCTTTCCTTTGATTCTGCTTTCAAGACTCTTCAAATGAAAGAAAGATTTGCTCCGGAACCTATTGATTGATTCTTTAACTGTAAACTAAGACTCAAGAGTTTACGAACTTCACTCATGAACCAGATTGAACTCGGGAAAGCCGCTAATGAATGGACTCTCCCTGATGGAAGAAGGTAAAGCTCCTATACCTATTTATTCTTTGACTGATCTTGATCCTTAATTCTTGTTCCTTATTCTTGAACAGTAAACAAAGACTCCTTATTTATGAATGAGAGCATATTTCATCCTTCTTTCACCTATGGATTCTTGAACGGATCTTTCTCGTCTGGCTACTTACTCCCTCCCCTCTCTCTTCTCGTAACCCTGCCTGCATTGGACTTCTTTCACTCTTTCACTCGGTAAACTGGAGGAAAAGAAGAATCAGCCTGAACCTCGGCCGGGCCCATTCACTATTCTTTCACTCAAGATGAGAGAGAGTTTACGAACTGAACTACTGAACCGGATTTCACTGTAAGAAAAGAAGAGGAAAGACTGAACTCAAGATGAATGAGACCTCACTCCTCTGCTGCCTACTTACTCAACCTTAAGCCTTTTCCTGACCCTTCAAACATTCTTTTCCTGTAAAGAAAGACGAAACGAAAACAAGATTCATTCATTCGACTTAACTCCTTGTTCTGTGTTCGTTATTCGAAGGAAGTTCTTGTTCACCTCTCTTTTCTTTCACTCGGTAAATAGATAGTAAGTAGTAGTCTTTCTCCTGCCCCTTCTTTCACTCCTGAACCTGAACCGGACCCTGACGAGAATGAAATCAGGGAGACTATCGATGAATGAGAGTTTACAGTCAGGGCTGAAGAAGAAGAAAAGACTAATCTGGCCGGCGGGAAGGAAAGCCGAAACTCAAGCAAGATTCATTCTTTAACTTCTCTCTGCCTACTTACTCCTATTCATTCTCCTGCCCCTTTGACTCTATGACCTATTTATTCCTTATTTCACAGGGTAAAGCCGCTAATGAATGAATGAATTTACACTCTCTCCCTGATTTCACTCCTCTCCCTATCGGTCGAGTGGCTTCGTCGCTCCTGAACAACCTCTATTCCCTTGTGCAGTTATTGTGAGTTATTCAAACACTGATCTTTCTCCTTTCTTGCTTTCACTCTAGTACTCTCCTGTAAGAAAGGAAAGACAAAAGATTAATGAGACTGAACAGTCAGTCAAGACTCAACTAAAGATGAATGAGAGTGAACTCCGGCCGGAACTCTTTCTCCTTTTCCTATTGATTCTAGAACAGTAAACAAGGTGTGTCTCGAATCTGATCTTTCTCTTTTTCACTCGTTCTCTTTTCTTTCCTCTCGCTGATTGAAGGAGGTAAAGGCGCTAATTCATTTAGTCTCTTTCCTATTTCTTCTTTCACTGTCAAAGAGAGGAGTCAGTCATCATTTCTTTGTCTCGAGCTTCAACCACTCGGCAATTGAATTGCCTTTTCCTTCTTTCACTGATCTTTCTCCTGCACCTTCAAGCAAGTCAAGACTCAACTCTCGATGAATTAGAGTTTGTTTCCGAACTTCACTCATGAACCTGAACTTTACAGGAGAGTAATAAATTCATGAAAGAAGGGAGAGGAAAGAAAAGAGAAGAGACCGACCGATAGGGAGAGTAGTTCAGTCGAATGAATCGGAAGGTTCAGGATAATTAATCTTGTTGAGGTTCGGCTTTGTTTACAGTCTTTGAAAGGGAATATCATCAAAGGTTCTCATCAAATAGCGCTTGACCTTCTGAAAGAGTCTTTGAAGGGGAAGGAGTTAAAGAAAGCTCAGGAAAGAAGAGATGAGAGAGAGACCGGCCGGCCATATGTCTTGTTCTAATCTTTCTTCTTCTTTTTTTACAGTTCAATCCGGGAGAAGTTCAGTGAAGGCAATGGAATAGCTTTACCGAGTGAACAATCAAGATCATTAATCTTTCGGCTTAGTTACCGTTCAAGAAGAGGAGTTCAGTTCGTAAACAAACTATCATTCATCGACAGTCTTTGGTTACAGTGAATAAATAGGTAAAGGGAAGGTAATATCGATCGGAAAAGCTGAATGAGTAAGTACTGAGGAAGAGAGTCAAACAAAGAGAGTTAAAGAAGGAAAAGGCAATTGAATTGCTTTACTACCGAGTGAAAGAAGGAATAAGGGTTTCAGGTTTTCGGCTTTCTCTTTGGCTTTTACCTTGGGAAAGAAGGAGAATCAATCTTCAGTCTTTGCTTTGTTTACAGTTCCGGATTGAATAACGAACTCGAGAAGAGAACGAATTAATTGAATATGCTTTACTACCTAGTCTTTGAATCAATAAGTTCCGGAGGTAAGATCAGCCAAGCCCAGTTGGAGAGGTTCAGTCGAATGAATAAGCAGTTGAGGATTAACTTACAAATTACCTTGTTCAAGAGTTAAAGAAAGAGAAGAGAAAGAGAAAGAGAAAGAAAGAATGAAAGAATAGTGAGGATTTACTTTAAGTTAAGTCTCATTCATCTTTCGGATTGACTGACAGTGAACTCGAATTGATTCTTCTTGAGGATTTACTTCAAGTTCACTCTCATTCATGTTTCGGATTTACTTTAAGTGAACTCGAATCCATCTTGAGTAGTGATCTTTGACAGGGAAGAGAATGAATCGAGAGTATTGATCTTTTACAGGTCAATCAGGGAATAAAACAAAGAAAAACAAAGCTAGCTCGGCAAGGTCAGGTAATCAAGTAATAAATAAATAATAGCATAGAGGTGAAGTTAAGGTTCAGCAGGCAATAGAATCAATACGTTCAGTAGTTCAGTCTCATTCAGGAATAAAGAAAGAGGAGCGCAGCAATGAGACATACGGAACAGGCCAGGACAGGACGGACGGAAAGAACCCCATTTACCCAGTTCTCAATAAGGGAAGGTCATAGCATAGAGGAAAAGAAAAGGCAATTGAATTGCTTTACCTCATTCAATCAGTCAAAGTAAGTAAGTAGCGAAAGGAGAAAGAATAAATAGGTGATTTCGTTTACGGAGTTCAATCAGTAGGAGCTTGAGAGAGAGTCTCCCCTCAAACAAACAAAGACTGTAAACTCGGATAGGATAGTCAATCGTTCAGTAGTGAAGGAATCCTGAGTTTCGGCTTTCCTCTACCTTCTAGAACAGTAAAAGAGAAGAAAGATAAAGGAGTAGAGTAGGTCAGGAGCAGGAGTGAAGTTCGTTCAGTTTCACATCTGGCTTTAGGCTTTCCAACAGTAAGTAAAAGGGGCTATTAGGATAGGTTAGGTTACGTACGGAGTGCAAGGAGAATGCAGCTCTCTCTCTCTTTTCGTCAGAAAGGTTACGGAGTTAGTTCAGGAGAATGAATAGAATATGCGAGAACAAGGCAAGGCAAGCAAAGAGT